GAATGCGTTGTAAAGCGCTTTTACGGGCCACGGCCGGGAGAAGATATCGCGATAGCGTAATCGTGGCTCGTAATTCGCCGCGGCGAGGAGCGCGTCTGCCGGCGCGATGGTTTCGCGCGCGGTTTCGCCCCGCGGTTGTTCCGGGGATTTTAATTAACGAAACGATCGAAGGAACGCACGCGTTATCGGCGAGAGGCCGAGCAATTCCGCGCGTGCGACGCCGGCCTCCGCCAAGCGTCGGCCTTAATTATTTTTCCGATACTTGTGGATAACGAACGACGATGGTTTTTTTGTAATTAACCCCGGACGTCGAATTTTACGTCGAACTCTTGCGTAATGACGAACGACGATTTATGTCGTGCCACACGATCATTATCAACCGGTGCATACATACACCTTGGATCCAAGTTCGTGGCTGTTTGCTGAAGTAACGAATACCGTGCTTCGACGAATTGAATACCAGAACTATCAACTAGGTCAGAATGACGCAGTTTAGATCCGTCGTTTCATGGTTATTGAAATTATAAGGGTGCTTTCGCTTGATATACCGATAGGACATCAGAGGTAGATTCGAATCTTGGAAAATGTATTGTAATGCTTTCTATGAAAAATTATTAAGAGACATTCCGAGTCCTTGGTAGCGTTTATGTCAAAACGACACGCAATATACGTCGTCGCGTTGTGAATAAGACACGAGCTGCGTTCCTCTGGCTAGATTATTCTCGTGTAATTACGCTGGACTGTCGATATAAAATTTAATTATGCGTCGACGACACTGTTCCCTAGATGAACTGTTGAATTATGAGATTGTCAACCTCTCGGTAGTATTTTCGTCACGCACTGAGATGAAAGGAGTTCGAGGTTCTTAATCGCTGGATTCGGAAGAATCAACTGAAACGATTATGTTATGGCTCTATATAATTTACGACCACTCTTGGAAAATGATAGATCATTAAGTGTACCTAGATGAGCTATACGCCATATTACGATCTTCTGATTAGAAATTTATACAGCCTATCATGAATGATTGCCTGTATTGACAATTAGTCCTCGACATTTATCATTTTTAGCTCGAGGATAGCTTAAAATAAATACGAATCATGTTAGCATATCGTTAAGATAAGAATGGCATGTTCAACGGTATATTTCGTAAAAGTTAGTAAACCATCAAGCTTGTGTTACGTAAAAAAAATTGACGAAGGATCTCCGTCTGAAACGGTACGGCAACAAGTCGAATCAAAATCGCTGCGAGTCACGAATCCCATTGCGAGGAACGTTCAGGGTATTGTGAATCATTGAAAGATTAATTGCACAGCCCTGGACACGGCTGTTCCTGTTACGTTGAAAGTTTAACGCAAGTCCAATCAGAGCGAGAGCTCACGTCAGGTCGAACGGCGAATCCCCGAGGGTCAGGTGCTCGCATCTGATGTGCCGCAACACCGGAAACTCATGCAACCTGTAAGATTCAGCATCGGGATCGCCTGAAATCGCATCGTCAAATGGCAACGGCTGTCTCTTGTGAAATTAAATATTCTCCTCCGTTTAACAGCATAACGTCGGCTTAACATCGAATCAAATTTATATTATTATTCTCGTCTATTCAACAGCGAAACGTCAGCTTAGCATCGAATCAAATCTATATTATTTACATATATTCTAATAATAGCCATGTCGACAGAGTAACACAACCGCTACTTGAGTCTTATCAACCACAGAACGATCGAATGATTAATTTTATTTCAAAATTCTGTATAGCCAGTACCTTCTCCTTTTTCTATTGTCTTCTCTCGGAAGTCACAATGATATTATAATTGTTTCTTTAACCAGTTAACTGTGTTTGACGAGTATACATATCATCTTAGAACTCTTAATGGTGCTAACCTTTTCAACGATGGATTATTTATTTTCCGAGACAAACATGTAATTCTTCTTCTCGCTTTAGTTTCTCATTAGGATATATTTTAATTGATTTTATTGCGCGCACAATGAGAGATTTTTCAAAATTCCACACTTAACTGGTTAATATTAGACTCCATCTATTTCTTCGATACTGCACTTCAGATATTTCTTTAATATTGCACTTCGGTTGATTCTCTAATATTCCACTTCGTCTGTTCTATTGATATTGCATTCTTGGCATTTTCGAATTCCTTGTTACACAAACGCGCCCCGTGAAAAGTTGAATATTGCGTCGGTATTGTGCCGGTACACGACAGTGGCGAAAATGTCGATCATTGTCCGATGCAGTTGTATTCGATGGCCGGCCGAATTTTACAGTGTCCAGTACCTGCGTCCGTTTCGCGTACAAGCAAAATTAATCAGCGGCCTCGTCGTCAAACGCGAATTTACACGAGCCGCGGGAAACAGCGTAGAAAAGTTCTCGTTGAACCGCGTGTCCGGGCCATTCTACGCTGTCGGCGTAAACCTGAATAAAACAATACTACTTCTTCCGCGAAATGAAATTCCGCCTCGGCGGAGTCGGTCTTATCCCGCCAGGGATACGTATCTTCGTTCCTCCTCGTTATTTCGTATCCGCGTAACGCTCGCGCGGAAACGTTGACCGAGTTAACGGGCTATTCCCGTCGGAGCGGGAAGAAATGCATCATTTTTTAACGCGCCTCGTTCCGATAATACGTTCTAGTGATTCGACGATGTGTTTTACGAGATGGCGGACTGAGAGACCTTTTCCGGCGAGGTAGCAACGGAATCGCGTAACTAGATAGAGCATCCGCCGTGGAATAATTGATAAAATGCAGTTTATTGACACCTTATTAAGGGACTCGTTGGAACTCCGTACAACTAGTCTTCCTATAATTGCGATTGAAGGTTTGAATTGGTATGTGATAACTAATAACTTTACTGTGAGATGAAATTGCGAATGAAATATTATTAAACGAAGAAGGTACGATTCTTAACTAGCAAATCTGCCTAAATTTAGTTCAATGAAAACATAATCCAGAACTGAAATATATATAATTCAAGCATAAAACAGGCTCAGACTGAATTCAACTCAGCAGCTCAACTGTACCTTCCTAAAGGGTAAAAATACAGAATCAGATAATAACTGATACAGGGGTCGCCTCTGTGTGTAAAACGAGTCCCGTAACCCAGATCAGAGTCTCAGTCAGAAATCAAACGCTATCTCGGCTTTGTAGAGTGGCGTGTCTGCAGAGAGTCCAACGACAAACGGAAAATTGGAAACTATAAATTTTCCTCGGGCATGAAGTCTACGGTCCCACAGTGATACACGTTAAAGCACGTCGCTTATGAGCAATGGCGACTGTGGCGGGGATTTCCGTCGAGTATTCTCGTAGAGGCGGTTTATTCGCCGGTGATTTTCATTGGCTTCTTGCACGCGCGCAAGAGAGCGAGCGAGTTCCTCTGTTTTCTTCAGCGTGCATCATTCTTTGTCAGGAGGATAGGAAAGGTGTGAACATTCCTTCGAACACGATCCTAACCTTTCCCCGTCGTATTTCATAAACGTCCCTGTTCCAGCGGGAAGTCAAGGGAAACGTGAAGTTAGTTTTTCAAACGACCATTCAAGAAGTTTCCCTCCGTACAAATGTGGCGTGAACTAGTTTCACGTGCAACGAAATAGTTACTCACGCTGGAATAAACAAATAGCGCAACCTTTTTATGTCCCGCGCACGCACGCCTTCCAAATGGAACGTTTTCCCCAGGAATTCAGGAAACAACTGTTTTCTGTTCCGCCCGGCTAAGCTTTTTACCTTCTATTACGCGATAAAATGAAAACCATTTACAGTGAACCAGTTCGCGGCAGATTGAAAGTACTTTTTCGACCAAGGAAATGAACGTCGATCTACATCGTTACTTAAAAATACAATTAGATCAATCTTTCGTATACTGGAGCCAGAATACCTCCATCAGTCGATGTACCAGCAGTCAGAGTCGATCACAAAAAATTTCATCCCCTTCGAAATAAACAAGGAGAGCACGGAAAATTCGTCGTCTAGAACCGCAGAATAAATTTCTTCCAACATCGACTGAGGTTGTGATTAAAATCGACAGTGATCTACAATATTAAAGCAGCACCCATCCTCGTACACCGTAACCTAATAATATCGTCAAACGGCTGATCCAGCGAGTTTCGAAGTTCCTTGTCGCGAACGAACAGAAAAACCCCGTGGAGGGAGAGGGTCGGACAGCTTCTAAAGGAAGAAACCCGCGAAGGAGAGAAGGGCGGGAGGGAGGTAGCGAGTCGAGGGTGTAGAACGCGAGAGGAAGAAAAGAACGATCGTTTCTCAGCGAAGGGGGTGAAGAAACGGCAAAGGAAAAGGAGAAAGCGGAGAGAGTCGCGAATTAGGGGTGGCCGGCGGTGTGCGCGCGTACCGTTGGAAAGAGAGGGTTGCTTCCGCCCCACCATCGCTCCCTTCGTCCCACCCCCGGACTCCGGCGAGAACGCGCGAGCTTCGGGATTCGAGGCCGTGTGGAAACTCGAGCAGACAGCCAGTCGCTCGGCGTTCGTTCG